TCTGCTATTAAATTTTTGTTGATTTAATTTTTTTACAATTTGAAAATTGTAATTATTTTTATTTAAAATATTCTACAAAAAAATTATTCAAATTTAGTCCTTTTTTCTACATATTTTTTTAAATTACACTTGTGAGTCTAAAGTGACAACTCACATCATTAGTTATGTTAAGAAGGAGTTGATGGTAATAGTAGAAGGGAAAATTAATGTAAAACAAAATTAAAAAATGAATAAAAAATTTGTTAAGTTGTAGTTTAATGCAAGTTAGATAGGTGGCTAGCTCCAAGAACTCCGGAAAGGTTTTTGGATGGAATTAATAGGGCTGGCTAGGTTGCGTTGCCAACACAAAATTTGATTTAGGGTTTAAGGTTGTCGCGTGGAAAGTCTCATTTGTTCAGTTGTCGTTGGGAGTAGCTCGGCCTGAGAGTGTCGATGATCAAGAGAGTGGATTAGAGGAGGGGAGGAGCTCTGCGTGAGATTGTCAACGGATTTTAGCGTCTGAGAGTGTGATCTTTTTTTTAATGTCTTAAATTAATTTATTACAAATTTTTAGATTACATATTTTATTCAATGCTAAGACTATTATCTTGTAATTAAGATATTTAATTTCTTATTAAAAACCAAAAGCAATTAAAAATTATATCAAAAAAATACAAATTCCAATTGATTATTATTATTATATGTAATTTTTTATATTAGAAAATTCAGATACTTGTGAAATCACATTTTTTTGCAATTTTTTTGTAAAATTTAATTAAAAATTTCTTTTAAAAACTTATATTTTTTTCTTTATTTGATAAAAAAAATTTAACATGAGTTTTTTAAAAATTGATCATTTAAAAAATTTAAAATATGATTTTACATCTTTAAAATTTAGAAGCATTGTATCATTGATTTGATGATCTTTAATTATTTTTATGAAGATAATTTATTCTATCAAATCAATAATATAAAGCTCCTCTTAAAAATTACTTTAACAATATGGAGGTGTAGATTTTTAACTTAAAAAATTTTTACTACATATAAAATTAATTTAAAGTTGTGGGATGTACCTTGATTAATTTGTTAATGACACTTGAAATAGTTGACATTTATAAAAAAAATAGAAATAAATTATCAGTATAATATCATCATGTCAAGACATATTTTTAAAAAAACCATAAGAATTATGAGTAATAAAACACAAAATTTGAAATCAGATCTCATAATATCTCAGGTTTTGGCTTTTAAGTACTTCAAAAATATAAAATGCCAACAAAAAATAGCAACAAAAGAACTATTAATGTTGTGCAATTAAAGATTTATTAATGTTGAAATAACTTAAAGCAATATAGATTATTCTTTTAGTTCATGAAAACTATATAACATCTTCACGAATTGCAAAATTACCAATTTTTATTTATTTTTGTCTTAAAAAAACATATTTTTAACATGACATCATCTTTATATTTTGGAATAAAATACAAGTCATGTTAGCACTAGTATTACTACTGCATTATCAACAAATAGTTTTTCATTCTGACTCGACATTGCCCACCACTTTGGACTTCCCCACAGCATTAATGTAGGTCCAAATCTAACCCTTGAGCTCTATTTGTGGAATTTGAAACTCTAATTATCTGAAAAAGGTTTATTACTTATATTTCTCCCTCCACTTTTTCATCAACCTCTAAGTCTTTACTTCTCTAAAAATATTTTGGAAAATTTTTATTTTTTAAAATTTTTAATAATTAAAAAAAGGATATTTAAATTAATAATAGGAAATAAATTATTTCTCAAGTATATGTTGAGTTTTTTATAAATAAATACAGTATTCTTTAAAGCGTTTGTATGATTATTGATGTGATTTTAGTGTATATTTTATTTGAATAAAAAAATTCCTTATTTTTTTTTCCATGTTTGAAAATATAATAAAGTTTATTTGGGCACAAGATAGATGCACGTGTATATCACACTAAAATCACAATAAGTTTTTCCTTTTACTTTATCTTTATATTAATTGTAATTGAGATATAATCTACAATTTTATAAAGTTAAGTAAAACACCTAAAACGTTTTTTTTTTTGCTATTTTTTCATAATCTTTCAGTTCTAAAACTTTGTAAAAATGATTGATTATTGAAATTGATTCAAGTGTGTATGGATCTATTATATAGATAAAATTTGTAATAAAAAATTTATAGATAAAAATATTAATAATATTGGAGCTCAAATTGAAAAAATTGATTAGTTCAAATATGATATAATTTCATCGTTAAAATATTGCTAAATACATGTTTTATTTATTTGAAAACTAATTTTAAAATTAATTATATTATGTTGTATGTTTTTTTAAAATCAAACAGTTGTTCATCATATTTTGAATTGAGTTTCTGATTTTCCATCTCAAACCATGAATTTTCAAGCTTACTCATTACCATCAATTGATTCTCCTCCCGAAACGTAATCTGAGATCGGCTAGTAGTGTTTTCTCTCTCCCTGATGCACTTGAGTTGCTTTTGATATTGCTCAAACCGTTTATTCCTCAAGGAGTTGGGAAAAATCTCGTCTTTAAGAATCAACGGTCAATAGATCAATGATGAATGACGATCGACAGTCAACTATTTAACGGTCCTCATCAAGCGGTTTAGGATTTAGGTATCCTCGTCCAACGATGCTTCCACGCACTTTCACTCTTGTCTCGCGCGTAGCATTTTCTTCAAATTTTTTCCCACCTTTGTTTTATTTCTCCGCAAGTATGCACTAGTGACACACGCTGAGCATGAGCAGCAACTCCATAATCGCTAGATTCAGATTGAGCACAAGCGGCTGCTGCTCCACAATCGCTCGACGCAAGTAAGATACAAGAAGCAGCAACGGCTCCACAACCGAGCTTGCTAGTCAAAGTGAGTGACGATTCTAAAAGCAAGAGAGCTAGCAAACAAACATGCAGGCCGTTTCTAAACAAGTACTGGTATGAGTGTGTAACGGCAACGTTTTTGTCAATGCAAGCTCAAGCGAGTTCAACAGCATCAAAAAACAAGAAACACCCTCGAGTCCTAAAACACCACCGTTGCTTCTCACACTAATCAATCTTCACATCATCGTAGACGAGCGACGTCTTGCAAGCACAAAATTTTGCCCATCATACACACAAAATCAAAGAAAAGTTATGTCACGAGGACAACAACAGACTATATGCACAGACACAAACTTCATAGATAAGCAAATTGTACTATCTAATACCAATTGTAGGTTAAACACAACAATAAGCACACGAGGACGACGACAGACTATATGCACAGACACAAACTTCACAGATAAGCAAATTGTACTATCTAATGCCAATTGTAGGTTAAACACAACAATAAGCACACAAAGATGTCCTTGATTCAACTTCACGTACACGGCCGAAATAGAAACTTCACTAAAGCAAGAATATTACATCAATCATCCATAACCAAAGTCTAGATTATCTCTCTCATTCCAATGTGAATGTGAAAACTGAACTGAAATGTGCTCACCATTAACTTAAATACACAAACAAACCCTAACTAAGTCAAACACTAACTAGCCGAATCCTAATTAGAGGCGAAGTCTAACTACAATTAGACTAACTACGATCAACAATACACGGGTTAACCTTACATCTTACCATTAACAAAGACATTGTAATTCATTTCAATTACTCGCATCTTAAAAGCAACACATTGGAACATATAAATGGTAAGCTCTATCTAGCTGTAAGTGTCTCGACTTTTTTTTTCATATATCTAAAATAATCTTGAACCTTGTTTTTATAGGAGAGTTTTAGATAGTCATATGGTCAGAAGATACCATTGCTATTTTTAAATTGCTTCTACCTTTTCCAGGAGAGTCCTCTAGTGTATGCAAGGATGTCAATTTTGTGTCTCGAGGTGAATGATCATCATCAAACTCATACAACACTTTGTGCTAGTGTTTACTCCTCAAGATTATATTCTTGGATTCTTCCAAACCTGAGCTGAAACCAGATGTAACACCTTTTTAACTCAAAACCATTTTCCAATATATATATATATATATATATATATACACACACACACACGTACCTGCCTCATATCTTGGTTTGAAACCTATGTCCCTAATTTCGTCAAGGCGTTGGCTTCCAATTGGGTTCTCATTCTTCACCCGACCTGATCTCGAGTCATCGCTATGATGTCTCCAACTATATTTATTTGTCTTCTCCGAGTTTCTTTATGCTGCATATGAATAATCCGAAAATATTACTTCGTGTTTTAGTCGAGGGGTTTGACACCTTGAGGGAAATGGTTGCATACATGGCCGCCCATGAAATTGTAGGGAATGTGACAATACCACCCAGAATGGAATTGACGTCCTTTTGTCCGACATGTGCCAACTATTCACGATGTGCATTTTTGCCATCGCCTTATGGCACCGTGGCAAGGACACATTGAATGCGCCCCACCCGGACAGTTAGAGCTCGATGATCTGATTCACCTCTCGGAACTGCAAAGGAATTAATTATGAAGAGGGCATCCGACAAATCTGAGAGAACTCAATTAGTCTGAACAATTTCCAGAATCTTCTCCCACGAATGACTGGGGAGCATGACTCTGGCTGGGACCAGGCCATGACCACCAGCTCGTGAGAATCCTGTGTGAGCATTCTCGTTCCAGTCTTTTTATCGAAACAAAGTGCTTAAAATTAGTGAATGAAGGACATAATGAAACGACAGCGTCCATGAGAAACAAAGCAGAAATTGTTGCAGTTCCTCTCAGCATACTGAATTATGGACCGGCCAGGTCGATACTGCGTAGCTGAGAAGAATATTCTTCACATTCTCCTCCAAGCACGGACCGTCATGCCGACGGACAAATTCATAAGGATTTATCGATCATGGATTTGCCACCCCGGATTGGCATTTGAGTAAGGAGGCAGGCCTTTAGCTGTGAAACAATCGATCGGAACCATGTGACCATCGAGTAACTCATAAGCGGAACCTTCACATGGATTCGTTTAAGCAACACGGTTCGAGGCCGAAAGACGCCATAGATTTCATTAGTCATTTGCACCTGGGCTGTGGTGGTGCACCCAGAATACAGGACGACGTGGAGATAGACACAAGGAGTGGGATTTCTAAAATTACCAGTAGTGTACCCAGAGATTCATGTCATGGATGACTCTCCCCACTCATCGTACTATTTTAGATTGCTGTCCTAAAAAATGTTCCCTGCAGCAGCAAGGGGTGAAATGGATCACGTCCCCTGCCAAGCTATTCTCGCAGAAGAAGACGGATCTTGAACCCGCTGTCGTTAAGGAGATGCTCCTCCTTCACGGGAAGCCCTGGGACTGCCTTTTGTCCGTCCAAGCTCTCGGAGGCACCTCTTAAAAAACCAGTACAATTATGAGTATCCAGCTAGTTTTCTTCCCCGTGGCGGAGGCCCCCGTTTCCAATTCATGGGGACGTTCTTCGCCATTCATTGATCATTCGTTCTATCAAAGCCTATCGAACCAATCAAACCCTTCGCTCGCTACGGTGGTCACTGATCCCCGTTTACAAAACTCCTCCTCATCCTCGGGTTTGAAAGATGAAGGAGAGATCACAAGCAAACGATTCCTCGGCCAATCCTTGACCAAATTCGAGGTCAAGAGACTGTGAGATACTACCGAGCTTTGCATGCAGCGACATAACGCAGACTTCTGGATTCCAGTCAGTCACTGAACGTAATTGCCATGAACAAGAACAAGTAACTCCTGGGCTACCATTTGTGCTCATTGCACAAACACTATATACAATAGCTAGAATCGTTTTTCACAAAATCTATAACTCCAGAATTATGGAGCAAACAGCCCCCTGGCTGATTTAGCATCCTTCTTCGCAAGCGCTGTGGGTATGTGAAATTTTCACCTACGTAAGCCTGTTCGAGCTCGCTGACAGAGTGAAATGTCATCATGAAGATGCCAGGAAAGTTGACCTGTCAACTGCGATCATGACTGAGCTTCTGGAAGACATCCTGCTGATTTACAGCGAGCTAGCAATTCGATCAGCGGTGTTCAGGAGCCTTGGAAGCATGAACGAACATTCAGAAACTGGAAAGGTGTCGTGTGTTGCTGAGCCCTGAAGTATCCCCATGTTGTCCAGTTTGTGTCGAACAGAGAGGCGATCAGATGCGACTCTATAGCTGAGACTGAGTGACTGACTGCTTGAATTGGCAGAGGGGAAGGTTGCAAGGAAGGCTCAATTGCATCCGAGTGTATCACCCAAGACCCAGGCCCCCGAGGTTGCCGATGACTCCAGCCAAGCCTCCCAAATTATTCTGTGCGGCAAGAAACGCAGCGATGTCCACATTTCCTCCACCGGCTGCCCCTCCAAGAATCGAGGAGTAATCTATTCCGCTTGCCCCTCCTCCTGCTGCTGCAGCACTAAGGAAAGCTGAATAGTCTGGAGTACTTCCGGCATTGTTCAGTAGAGAAGCAAAATCAATAGCCCCTCCTCCTCCTCCTCCTACTCCAGTGTTACCTAGCATTGCAGAGAAATCCACACCTTGCTGTTGATTTCTTTGCAAAATTTGTTGCATAATAGCCAAGCTACTTCGCTCCTTCTCTATCCGAATTGCATTGAGCATGGCCAATGTTTGCTGTGCGCTGTTATGCTGAGCAGCAGTCATGGCTGCAAGGTAATCGGCAGCTGATGGAGGATAACCCGCTGCAGCTCCGGGCATGTAATTGTGCACTCCAGACTGCGGTTGAGAAGATGCAGGCTGCTGCTGCTGTTGTTGTTGTCCCGAAATACCTTGAAATGCAGAATTAGAACCTGGAACTTGAGGTGCTGTTGCGGCTGCAGGTTGAGGGTATCTCTGCTGATAAGTGGAGTTGGTATTCTGAGCCGCAGGAGTGTAGTGTGATTTAGGTGGAGATCTAGAGGAGTAATTGAGATCTGCTTGTTGTTGTGCTGGAGGAACAGGTTGAGGAGCAGCAGGAGAGAACTTGGCAGTCGATGCTGGTTGCTGTTCGGGTTCGGCGAAAGTAACCTTCAGAATCGACTTTGGTGCTGCAACTGGAGCAGAAGGTGTGAACTTCAGGCTGGTTCCCTGTTGTGCTGCTGGTGCAGGAGCCGGAGCAGCTGCAGAATTGAATTTTAGACCAGTCTGTTGCTGTTGTGGCTGGGCAGGTGGTGGTGACGGTGGTGAGACTGGTCTCGGTGACGGGGGTGGAGCTCGAGAAGTCTTCAGTCCAGCCGTGTACAAAGGTGGTGGCGGCGCCTTAATCTCAACAGCTGACCTGCTGGTTATTTTCGGAGAAGGTGACAGACCAGGAGCAACAGAGCCTATCCCGTTAGCACTTCTGGGCACATACCCTCGAGAGCCCACTCCTACTCCTCCACTAGATTCAAGGTTGGTCGTCGAATTGGCTCCTGGAGCAGGAACCGGGTCGCTTTTCGCAGTGCTCTCAGCAGCAACTTGAGCAGCGGCGGCAGCAGCAGCGACTGCAACTGCTGCAGCAGCAGGAGGTGGAGGAGATGGAGGAGATTCGGTGACAGTGGCTGTCTTAGCAGCAGATGTCTTGTTTGCAGCTTGAGCCGCTGACTTCTGTGCCATGACGGCGAATTTGTTGGGGCCGGGTCCTTTGTCAGCCTGGCGAGGAGGTTCGATCCTCAAGAAGAAACGCTGCTTATCCTCCTGCACATGGTAGTAGCAAATGAGGCAAAGGGTCTTGTTCGGATCCCTTCGATGTTTGAAAGCCGGGCCTTTGATGGGAGTGGCACCGCAGTGAACGCAGCAGATGATGTTCAGGTGGTACACAGCGCTGGCATCAGGCTTCTCCCTGGAACAGAAGTCCCCGGATCGGATCGAGTCGCTCTGCAGCTTGTCATCGTGGCAGAAAGCGCACAGATCGTAGTCGGGATTCTTGATGGAGGTGAAGGTGGGACCGCAAATCGGAGACACGAGGCACTCATCGCAGCGTTTGTCGAAGTGGTAAACTTGATCGTATTTCTTGCAGACCGAGTTAATGAAGAGCTCTTCGTAGACTTCGTAATCTGACTCCGGCTGCGCTCTCCTGTTGGACGGATTGGTAGCTCTGGAGTAGCAAGCTTCACACAGGTCACAGTCCTCTTGAGTTTTGTGGCGGTAGCGCTTGCCTTTGATGGGAGCTATGCCACACTCGGCGCACTCGATGAAGTGCACCTGGTAAGGCCCCGTCGACTTGCCCCTCTCAATCTTCACGTACTTGATCTTCGGATCCGGAATCTCTCGACGGAAACATGCTTGACACAGATCGTAGTCCGGCCGCTTCTTGCACTTGTAACGGAATCCGCTGATCGGACTCACCTCGCACTTGGCACACTTCACCCCTTTGTGCAGCCAAGGCTGCCCGATGTTCTCTCCATACGCCATGCTGCAGCTCCTGCTCTCTCTTGATCCCTGTTCCCTCGCTTCTCTGACTATCTCTCCTCCTCCTTCTGCTTCATCTGATGTCCAGTCCGATCCGGATCCACCCCTCTCCTCGAATCTCCCTCTCCTCTGTTATACGACGACTGCAAACAGCCACTTCGATCGATCAATTAATCAAGCCAACCCCGAGTATCGAGTCCAACATACAACATTCAACGATGGAGTCTTTGAAGGAAGCTCGGCCGCCACTACTCTACTTTTTCGTCGCATCCATCACGTTCCGCTATTGTAACTGTCTGCCTGCTGCATTCTATTGCTGCTGCTGTCTTGTCTACTGGCTCGGACCACGAGCTGACGACTTCCTACTTTGGAAAAGCTTCGATGAAAGGATGTGAGAAAGGACACAATGGTGAAGCGTGTGAGACGAGATCACATCACTTCAAAGCGGCCAATTCTGGAGGCCGCATTGAAGCAATGAGAACCAGAGTTCGGAGAGCAAGCAAATGAGGGGATTTAGATAGAGAGAGAGGAGGAGGAGGGGAGGAGGAGTGACGGTGGAGCAATTGCCCCAGATCTAGAATTACAAAGTCCGAGAAGTCGGGGCCACAATTTACCTCATCTCCCAGATGCGCAATTCCACTACATTACAGCGAAGCGCCGAGGCGTTGCGCAGCCTTGCAAAGACAGCTCACGCACGCCCTCTGCTCTGCAGTGATCCATGGTCCCACCGCCGCTCTCTGCTCCAAGTCCATGTGCGTCGTATTCTCATGTGATCTGATCCCATCTGAAGGAGCCCAGCTGAGTCGAGTCTCAACAGGACTACCACCACAAGCTTACGCTGCAGCTTACGCCTCGTACTTCCACTATGTCAGGCCCAGTGTGCGTGCTACCTGCCCGTCTATCCCCCACTCGTCATTTCCGAAATCATTTCATATGCTACTCGTCTCTTTCACATCTCCCTCTTGCCGAAAAGCTCTCGCAGTCGGATTGACTTTCGACTAAAGACAAGGAACCTTCATGCTTAGATTAGACGTACTGCATCCATGAAAGTTTTCCAAGGGTAATAGACGAACAAGACAATGCAGCAAGACAGATGAAAAACAATTCCGCAGGCAATATGCAAATAATGCAAGGCGTGTAGAAAAAGTTCAAGGAATGTAAGCGTGTGAAATACAACTGTAGCAAGCTATGATGTTATGATGTCATTACCATTGCCATTTAACCAGTTTACTTCGTTCGTGCATAACGTGTGATAAGAGTTTACTCATCAGATGGGACAAGGTTCTTGCAATCAGTATAAAAGGTAGCTGGGTACTGATAGTTGGTCGAATCAAAGTTACAATGTTGTGATAGAAAGTGAAGAGATGAGATGAAGTACAAATCAGATTATTTAAGGGTTGTAAGATAGTCAAACCCACGTCAACAATAGCACATAGTCCTCATAAGTTGTAGTTGACAACACTTATTCCAATTCTTCCTGGATTCTTTGGTCATGTTTGATCAGAAAAAGGCAAGTAGATTACATTTGACATCAAGAAAAAGAAAGGACTCTATCATGCTCTCTTCTCTCAAGGCACTTCCTATAATGAGATTTAACCAGAAAACTCGTAAACTACATGGTCAACTTCCAAGAATTATGGATGACATCGTTCAAAAAGGAAAACAAGACCTTTTGAACCCTTTTATAGTAAGTGTGATTATTCAACATATTCCACAAGACCTACCTCGCTGCCCGAACTCAAATTTCATCAAGTAGATCAGTTCGTTGAGAATACATACAACTGCATATCAAAACAGTTGAAACAGAGCAGGAATTTATCATCGTGAGAATGAAGACAAAATATAAAGGAGGTACTGTACTTGAGAAGAGTAAGGGTAGGTTGTGGATTACTGCCTGGTGAGACGGTGATGTATAATAGTACACCTATTTGTTCACCAATCCGAAGGGGCATGGATGGAGTAAAGAAAGCCGAGGCCTGATCTGCATCCCTTGCATGAAATGCTATCGCGAACTTCGATCTTTTCCAGACTGCTCCAGAATGCAGATACAAACAGTTCAAGCTGTTCCAAGTGCCATGACGAATACGGTACAGTACTAGCTCACCTCGGCCTAGCTCGCCTTCACTACGGGAACCTTCTCAGGGTGCGTTCACAGGTTTAGCTGGTGACGCTTTACTGTACTCGATTGCACAATCAAGTCCAGGAGAAGTAACCATGACTAGGTGAGGTCACTCCTTGCATGTCGTGCATGTTCCTCCCCTTGAATTAAATCTCCTAGTCGACAGAAAGATCTTCAGGAGATTCGATCCCATGAGTGTTGTACGAACATTCATTTGTGGTTTATGGTCAACCTTCCGAACACTTGACAAAGATCAAATCTTTAGTGCTTATATTTGACGATCTTACGGTATCTACAATCTTGTGAAATGCTTTTCCGTAACGGGACTATAAATATTGTGTAGCAATAATAATCTCGTAAAGAATGTAGAACGACAGGACTGCTAGACCAGGAATTTGCATGTGGAAACCTTCGTGGCCGTAACGCTTCTTTAACAAGGGGTTCCAATAGTCGTGGTGGCGGTGAGCAGAGGCACGATGGGCCGACCGTGGCTTCTCCTTCATTGATCATCCATGAGACCCGGGTTTAACTATGACACATCTATACTTAACATTAAATGTAAGATATTCCTGCCTTACGTCATTCCTTTGTAGAGCCTCGATTCTCGGATCTTTAGGGTAAAGGTAAATGACACCTTTTCGGAGTAAAACTCGGATTATTTTTTTGCAAAAGCTGCTAGAAGCACTAAAGTTTACTTCACGCGATTCAACCGAACGTTCAAGCGCATAAAATACCAACAAACATGAGGGAACGAAACCAGGAACTACTGGCTGCTGCAATCTTGATCAGAAATGGATCCATAGGTTATAGTACAGATAAATTCGTTCAAAATAATTTATATACACCTGATCATCCCAGAGTATCATCTTCGGCGTCTTCCAAGAGGATCTCGTACACATCGGTACGGATCCTCAATTCCTTTTCACGCATTATGTCTACAAACTCTGACTGCTCCTTCGCACTCAAGATCAATCCCAGCTTTCGGAATCCATCAGCCCATAATGCTTTGGACCTGCGCATTAAATACTTGATAACTTAAGACACCAAAATACTTCTGCCTCGAAATTTGCCATAACAAAGCACTAAAAGTACTAGTGCCGAAAATGACAATTGACTTACCAAGGGCATGCGTGGATAGCACGAAAATATACACGACGAGCTGCATCGGGATTCGATGCAACATGAAGCTCGTACGCTATATAACATCGCCAAAGCAGAACAGACTGCCGAGTTTCCTTGCTCTCGAGCGCTCGTTCGAACAGGCTGTGAATCCGTGGTCCGGCTCCAGGTCTCCACAGCTCACAAGAAAGAGCAAAGAGCCATAGCATCGTCGATGGAGACCTGGACACGACGAGAGGGCAGTGGATCAGGTGATCTTTATAAAAAGCGGAAAAGTTGAGAAAGAACGTGGAAATTCCCGAAAGAGGCCATCGAGGGGAGCCTCGCAACCTGCTGTTCCAATCTAGAGCACCTGAATCATAGCAGAGAATGAAAATAAACTTCCACCAGACAACTCTCGGCGGAGGTTCAACAAGAAGATGTTCTTCCTATCAAGCTTGTTTTCAGCTGGTCACTGCTGCACATGGTTTATAGATTACGGCCACACTGAGAAAACGGTACAGAGTATATACTATGAAACAAACCTTTTGGAGGCATCATCGAAGAAACGACGCAATTTGTGGCTCATGCCAGATTGAGAAGCACTGCGAATATATGCTCCAGTCAGCTTAGCATTACAGGGATACTGCACTAGCCCTCGCAAGATGGTCGAGCGCAGACGAGCTGGTTTTGCAGCCTGCTTGAATTTCTCCAGCGTATTCACATAACGAAGATGTAAAACTTCACACTCAAAGCTTTGCTGTCGATTGCCTTCACAAAAAAACCAAGCAAATCAGGCAAAGCAAAGGTAATGCAATATGCGATGCATACACAGGCTCTGGTAAGAGAATCGAAATATAAGTAAGCACATTTTCACCTCAGCCCAAGAACCGGCGATCCAACATCTCTCAACCTCTTGTCTACAACTACAGACACAAAACAGGCGGACACAACAGCGGCCCACCCCTTTGCTCACGAGAAGTGTGTATACCTGGCAAAGTCATGGCAAGCCCTTCCTCAAAAATAGAAGCCGCAGCTTCCCAGCCTGAGGTCAACTGCTCAAACAGTGCGGCACAAGTAATCAACGCCGCTCCTTTCTCAGAAAGATTTCCTCGGTCACTTGTTCGTACTCTCTGCAATTGCTCACGAAAACCTCGATGACTTTTGAGCAATTGAGTTGCAGGTATGCCGTCCGCGAACGACTGAGGCGAATATTCACTTCCGCTACCCAATGAGCACAGAATACACAAAGCCCTTTGTTCCGCACCGGTATCTGCCCCACATGAACTTCGAGCCAGCTCCAAGTCTGCATAAGCGAGGTACAAGATTGGTGCATCCTGCTGTACTTCCTGCACTGACATAAGCCCATTTTGGAACAATTAGCACAACCATTGAGTTGAATCCCATCAATTTGAATTCCAGTGAGGGGTCTTTGAGGTGGCACTTATTTACCTTCGGAAGGGCACCCAAAGAGGCAAGAGCAGTATCAAAAATCTTTCTCGCAGCGGTAATATTTCCAGCAGCAGCTTCAATGCATGCATATGCTCCCCACATCGAAAGATCCTACGATCAATCGGTTGACATCAAGCCCGCTGTTTCAGATATAGAAAAGAGTGAAAACTAAGATTATTCACTTCCCAAGAAATCAAAGCCTTTCTGTAGCAGCTGGAGTAATTCTCACCTGACGATGAGTTTTGAGCAACTTTTTACCGAGTGCCCGTGAAGCGGACATACTTCCAGCTGCTAAACCCGTCTCTTCTGTTGCCAAATCTTCAGCTAGGAAAAGCCCTCTTAGCAAGCGTCGGTCATCGGTAAGAACAGTTCGTACTGCAAAAAAAGTATTTCGTAAGAATCTAGCTCCCGCCTGTGATTTCTCGTACCACGGAGAGTCTCCAACTAGGCCTGCCAAATATTTGCTTCTGCTCAAATCTCCGCGCTCGGCGTCATTTACGTCGGCGAGTAGAGTTCCCTTGAGACTTTCTAAAGATTCCAGAGCTGATCTGTAACTCCAAGCATTCGAACAACACCTGTCGATTCCCACAAAACCATTCTGACGTTGTTAATTCTTGCTCAAGAGAAGTGAATCTCTGACTTCATAGCTTGCCCAATAGTATACTATGTTTCGGTCACAGACTAGTCATTGCGTTGAATCAAACTATATATATCGATAATCCTACACATAAATTGTTCCTACTTTAATGACACGCCTTAGAACCTCCTCTCTGCCCTGACTGATATGATAGGCTATATTACAGGTCCGAGGATCGACCCAGAAAACGAATTGGTTACTTTGTTGCGCTAAGAGTGTAGCTTTCCTTCTTTATGGATTGTTCTGAATTATTAACGACAAATCCAATCAAGTGGAGTCTTTCTGCAGATGATGATCATGTCAACCATTGTAGGCTAAAGCCTGCGTGTTGACCAAAAAAAGGTCCTCTTCCCAGTATGATGAAACGATCGACTATATTGCAGATTCCGGCAGCCTCCAGGTATATCACTATGTTCATATCTATGGAATGCACTTAAATAACTTGTAAGCCGCGCATCCTGATCCATGAATACTTGAGATATTTGTTAGAAAAACAAACTGCTAATACTTTATCTACTGAATCAAGTCGTACTACTTTCTCTCTACTATGATGTCAAGCTGTGTTCATTTTTCTGGAAGCTGTCGAGAGCTTCCTGGGATCTAAAATGCAGCCAAGCAAGTTTATCTTGATAGATTCTCACTTTTCGACCACCTACTGTAACTGGAATCAAGATTGCAGGCGAAAGCGATATATTGTGTACCAAAATGCATGAGCAAAGCTTATATGTGCTCACCATTCCGAGAGAGGTCCGTCCCAGAAGTCCAAAATTTGGCAAACCAGACTTGAGCGAGCCTGCTTAGAATGCAGGGTGAACAAGCTTTCTTTGATATCCTCAAAATCAACAATCCTCTCCAGCTCATCTCCATCATCTTCAATATCCACATCGTCACGAGTATCCTTTGCTGCTCTTAAATGACATAATTTGTAAGTGAGAAGTATATGTCAGAATCTACATATAGAAGTATAATTACAAGCAGTTATGTACTAATTAAAGTGCTATTCAGCCTGCGCAGTGCGAAAGAGAAATGAAATATGGTGACAAGGGGACGTACATACAGCTTGCCTCCCTCAAATTTTATAACCTCGAAAATAAAAAAAACCCTAAAGTCAAACTATAAAGTCTACAAGATATCCAAATGTCTTCATTACTCCAAAAAACTAGATGGACCTACCGTATTTTGAACGAAGAGGTAACCATTGCTCGCGATCTCTCTGAGCCTCTCTCTTTACCCATCTTCTCCAAACAGTCACATCATTGACCTCTACATCCTTCCCCGCATCGAGACTCAAACCCAGCTTCTCAAGCAAAGCAGCGTCATCTTCTTCTTCCATGACAACGTCAGCATCAGCTTCCGTATCTTCTTCCATGTCAACAGCATCGTTATCTAGAGATACATCCGTTCTAGAGTCCTCCTTTTCCGGTTCTGACCACCCGGTCCATCCACCATCTTGCTGTTCTTCAGAGTCGTCTCCTGAGAGATTGACCTCCCGTGCTCTTTGAAGCTGCTCTTCCTCCTTCTCCAACCAAGTAACCCATCCTAACGCTCCATCTTCACCGATTCTTGGAGCACCACTACTCCAAAAGGCTTCAAACAATCTTAATTTGTTGCTTTCAGTCAGCTGTATTGGAGGCGAGAACAAACTGTATTCAATACCTGCCTGGAAAAGTCCTACGGCCAGTTCATGATGACCAGCCTGCCAGTTGAATCTGCAAAGGTCAACGAAAATTGACACCAATCCTTGCTCTGCCTCTACGTAGTTGACGTCATCTTCACCACGGCCCAATCCCTGCAGATAACGTGTAAATCCTTTTAGATAATATCAACTAATGAATTTTTGCTGCACTGCACTCCACACATGGCCCCAAAATTGTTCAAGAAACACTCCTATCCTTACGGCTTGCATTAAGCACATACAGTAACAGTATATGAAAAAAAAGCGTCCTAAAGTCAGGTCGAGGGAATACATACCTTGGCGTGTAATCGGTTACGGCTAGCTACCAAAGACTGAAAAGCGCGGATGTATAAGGCACGAAGAGATGAAACAGAGAACGCGGAAAACTGGGAGCAGCGAAACCTCAGGAACTCTCGCCACATTCTGAAACTAGAAGAATGTCTACTGACGGCATCTTCCCACTTGGAGACTAAGGCGGCTGCTGTGTCGCGTCTTTGGCATGACTCCAAATACAAGAGCAGCAAATCCTCGCTATCTGGAAGAATATGTAAAGCTTTTTCTAAAATTGCAACTTTCTTCTCCACAGCCTGTTGCACCACTGCTTTTTTCTCTGTTGCTTGTATCAGTTCATCCTGAGGCACGGCATTGTCAGATACGTTTCGTTAAAACCGGTTCAAAACTCCAAAATGAGGCAAACAGTCGAACTTCATCACTTTCACCGACTAAAAAGGAAGAATATTTGGAATTCGATAGACACACGTGTAGCTCCGGAAAACCTAAGATATGTGATGAATTGTAATCATTGAGATACTTCCTGAGGATAACATAATTGCAACAGTTCCAGTTTTACAAGACTATTCAGGAGTCTATCAATGACTTCACCAAACAGAGGTCACAGTTCTGAACAGAAAATGCAAGTGAGAAATTCAAGAAAATTCCTGACCTGAAAATTTGCGAAGGAAATCCACAAACTCTCATCACGAGATCTCTCCCTTATCTGCTCGTTGTACTCTTTCGTTTTCCGAGTCACATATTCTTGCCAAGTCTCTCCAGCGTCTACATCTTCTGCTACCGAACTAGTATTTTGCACGGCCTTCTCAAATTCAAGAGGCACAAAGTCTCCTAAAGCAGCAGAATTGTGTTCTTTCTGTTTAAATCCAAACCGCTCCTTGCAAAGCCTAACATGCCTAAGCTTCCTTTTGCGTTCTAAAGATGAAAATTTCGGGGACCAGTAACGACCTGCGCTCTTCACAGCCTCATCTTCAACCATTCCATCTCCTCCTACATCTATACGCTTCAGTCTTTGACTAGAAGGACGGCCTGAGCCTCCATACATGCCTTTGAACAAATCTTGACGACGATACCGCGCTATGTCCAATCTGCAGATCAATCGTCCTGTACTTCCATTAGCCCAGCTTTGTCGCTATATAAAGTAAAGCGCAGGTTCAGGTTCCCCGTAGAACTGAAATTTCAAGTCTTGCTTCATACAAGAAGATCACATGCACGACATGAAGCGCAGGGTACCACAGAAGCCCAAAGCTATACCTTTACCAGGCTTGCACAGAGCTTCTACCATATCCCATGATCTAATTACTAGTTGTTAATCATAGAAGAAGGTCAATAACTCGGAACTTTACGAAGGAAGCATGCTGACCTATATAGGGATCCAAATGCCATGTTGTCACGATCCCCACGGGCGTCAAAATAGTACTCCTTGGGCAGAGACTCTTTAATATCAGCCCAGACAGTAACTGCACCTTTCCTCTCCACGGATGTACTATCAAGAGCTCCAATCTTTCTGGTCTCCGCGTCATCTGCTTTATCTTTTCTTTTGCGCTTTTCAGCTCTTCTCTCTTCCTCCTCCTTCTGCCTCTTCCGCCGTTTCTTCTTCCTCCTCCTTTTCTCGGCTGATTCGCGCTCTGCGTCGTCATCTGTTGATGAACCATAATCTGAGCTGGGGACAGCTCCGGGGTGCTGATTATGACCAGAACCACCTCCTTTCTTGAAATGCTCTCCAGCGACTTCAATATCTAATGTAGAAGCTGGGAATGAACTTGGAACACTTGGCAAAGGTGGAGGAAGGAGACTCTCAGAGAAGCTGGAATTGGCAAGCCACTGATGTGCAGGCTCCTGCTGTAATCCTGTCTGTTAAAAACCATCTGTCAGAATTCTATTGCATGAAAACCTTTCCATATAATCAGAGCTAGATAGCTGTTCCAAAGATAAACCTACGAAGATCATCAATGCTGCGAAGAGCTCATTTCTTGCAATAAATGAGAAAATGATCGGGGGTTGAGTCTCGGAAAATTCGAGATGAACAAAATAATAGAGGTCAACTTGTCTAATTTTTGTGTGCTTTCAAAAGCTAATGAATTGGAGCCTGTTACCTGAGCATCTTATGATGACAATCAAGTTGGAACAGTGAGACTAAGGAAGATTCACTAGTGTGCGACAAATCAATCACGATTTAAGCTTTTGATACGTAAGCAATCTAGAGACCGCACATCTTCGACTCTTACGAAAAAAATCTAGAATTCAATGAGTAATGTTCGATAAGTCATTCCTTTGGAACTATATCGGAATAAATTTTTTAAGCCATTCACACGACACAAAAAACACCTCAAGAATAAACAAAACTGATTTTTCCCTTGCCAAATTCAATTGCTGAGAGCTGAAATGTCAACTACAGCCCTTCAGCACTTGTCTCAACTGTTTGCAGGAAAATCGCACGTGTAAAATATTCCAAGAGAATCGAAAACCACAAAACCACAAAAAAGAAGAAGGAAAAATTCACCATAGCAGAATTCGTTGCATCCTCACTTACATTGGTGATCGGAAAAATGGAAGAGACTGTATTCTTTGCAGAAGCGAAGGAAGGGAACAGACGAGGCGCGGTTGCTGCTGATGATGATGATGAAACCGGAAACAAAGCGTGCACTTCGACATCAGCAGAAGAAGAATTGACGTGCGGCGAATCCGTGTTGTCGTCCTGCTCAGCCATTTCGAACACTCCCCTGTTCTCAAATGCGGGATCTGACTATCTCGAGTCGCGAACATCAAGCTGCTTGCTCGACTGCGCACGGTTCGGTCGCCGTACGCTCCGAAGCACTGACGCTAACTTGGTCCATGACTAACCACGTCCAAACTTTCCCACGGCGACTCCGCTTCCGTAACTCAGTGCGTGGTTAGCGCGGTTTTCAGCTTCCTGTGATTCATTTCAATGGGCTTGACTTTCGGCCGACTTCTCCGATTTTCTGCCTATGCCATTTCTTCCGTTCCATGGTTTCTTTTGTGTTGGGAGACAAATGTGTACATGGGAGATGGGGAGTAGAATACACCCAATGTACATATATGGTAATCACTAATAGGACCTTAATTCTCTTCACTTTATCACTTTCACTCTACAGCAAATAGGAGACACTATTAATATCACTCACACGTATCCAATCAACTTTCAACTAACTCAACAAGCGACAGTGTAGTGAGACCTATAGTATGTAGACCTTTTGAATATGTAGGTTTTATAGTGCAAATTTGATATTGTGATATTTAGTCTACCCTCATCTTACTACTTCGTCCACTTCTTAACAATCTTTGGATATCTTTCCTTCAAATGCTGTTTACAATCGTTATACTTATTTTGATAGAATTGTTTGAATATTTACTCCAAAGCATGTGAGTATCATTTGTCTTTTACAATGACAAGCCCTATACTTATGGGAAGAAATTTGAGGCCGAGACAGGGCTTGGAGCTCCATGTGGTCTATTCCAGCACATCTAGTATTCAGAGAGAATTGCTTCAATCTCATAACTCATACTTGAAAAATCACAATGAAAATCCGTCTAAGCATAAATTTTTCGCATAGAAAATCTTTCTTCTCCTTTCGACTGCATATAAATTACTCGGTTCAGTAAGTATTGATATGGTTAATTGCAGAGTGTTAGACATTGTAATTAAATTTTCAAGAAAAATCTACCGAGTGTTTTTTTAATTAAGATTTTTATTCTTTCGTATTTTTCAGTCTTCGTTCAACTCATTAAAATCTTGGAAATCACAAACTTTTAAATAAGTATATAATTCCTTCAAACAATCAGTTTTTCATCGTCTAGATGCTCATCCTGTATGGATTTTTTAGATAATGAAGTCTAAAACAATGAACAACATTCATGTCAACAAATCTTGAAACTTGTGGCTTAACTTAGAACCTACAAATGTCAATGCAATACTATAACTTTATTGTAAAAGGAGTTCATAAGTTTAAATTTTTTAACTCTATTTTTACCGTAATTATGTCAAAATATGAACAGTGTGACCATAACCAAAAAAAATTTCAAAGTATGAAATGTAATTTTCAAATATCAATTGTTGTAATCCTTAGTTTTGAACAAACGATTTTGTATAAAATATATCCAAATGAATCTTAGAAAAAAGTATTTAAATCTTGAATCAAACTTTTTCCCTTTTTTAAGAAATGCTTCTAACCAACATCTTTTTGCATAATTAAAAAATACAATTATAACTGAATTGGGACCACTACAAGAAAATTTCAAATATATAAACCAATCAAGCTTATGTATTTTTGAAAAGCTAGACGTGAATTGTTTTAATTTAATTCCAGCGAAATAAAAATATATATATGAATTACGAGTAAAATAACATTTATAATGATTTACATTGAAAATTTTGATTTTCAACCAATAATACTTTTGAACCTCATAAACAAGTAATCAACAGAAATTAGGAAAAATATTATAAAACATATCAATAATAGATTATAGGATAAAATTTTAAATGTAAATTTTAAACTTAAATTTGACGATTTATTAAGATAATTTTTTAATGATCATATCATTAGAGTGCAAATTTAATATTAAGATATTTTCTTTATTTATCAAAATCAATGTTACATTCTGATAAATCAAAGATGATATTCAATAAATTTTAGCTAAATAAATCTTATTTTTCTAAAAAAATAATATTATTTTTAAAAAATTAATGATAAATTTAGAATCAAATTTAGAACTAAAAAAATATTTTTAGATCCAAATAAAAATCACATGTCACATATGAATTTTTAAAAAACTATCTGAAAAAATATTTATATATTATAATTCAACATTAAATTTTGGAATTAATTTTTTATAATTTTATGTGAAACAATTTTTTTAAATTTCAAATATAAAATAAATTTTACGCTAAATAATGATATGAAATTCATCCAACATTTAAGAGTACATAAAAAAAATTTAATAAAATTTAATTCATCATGATTAATTTTTAATATAAATTATAGAGTATCAATATCTTTACATCTTATTAATGTTACAATGAAATGAACTTATATGTTCAAAAATAATTGTGAAATGTTGCGGTTATCTCCTCTATTTGGAGTAACCTCTGTATATTAAGTCGTCAGGAGTCGGTCTGAAGTAGAGTATACATTTCCCTCGTCAAGAGTTTGTAAGCCCCGCCCACTGCAATTTTTATTAGAGCGATTCTCTTTTTGACCGTGGACGTAGCTAAGGAGAAGGATGAACCACGTATTTGAGTGTTTGAGTACTTGCCTGCCTATGTGAACAATTCTTTTGTGTGTTTTTCCTCGTATCTTTGTTACTGTCACTACCTTTGGGTTTAGGGTCATATTTGTGTTCGGCGTTAAGAGTCTCTGTAACTGAACGTCCACACCCAGTCAAATTGGAAAAGCATCAGTGCTACGAAGTAAGACTACTATTTTTATACAAGTGATAGTTTTGAGGAGTGCTTGCGATTTAAAACGTGATGAGATCATGGCCAGCACAAGTATGTTATTAGGTTGTACTGAACGGAAAACTCTCCTAACACGTTCACTAGCGTGCAATTCTGGATTAGCAGACGCGAGCTTCAACATCACAGGAGAGAGATTTGTTTTATCCGTTTACATGCATTTGAACTAGAATCTTGTTGAATCTTCTCTAGTCATACAAAGAATAATGACTTAAAAAAGAAAAATAGAATCCCGAAGAAAGAACACTATGCGAAAGGAGCACATCGCCGACGGGTGACGACACGTCTCCGCGCACCCGCCGACTGCGGGTCCAATTTGAACTAAAGAGACAATGCGCATCTCTCTCGTTCAAATTTTCAAAATTCAATTCATCCGCAAAGACCGCCTGGTCTCATCTCTGCGGTGAACTTCAGGATGAATTGAATTTTGAATCTCTACGCGTGACCACCACGTAAGGGGTTATTTTGTACACGTGGCAGTAGATCCGGATGTTTTCGCGGATCGTGCACGCGAACAGAGTGGGCTCTTGGCCGACGAGAGCCATGTGCGATTGCAGGGTGCGCAAGTGAATCTCTTTGATGTCGTGGCTGTCGGTCATGATCTTAACCTTGAGTGGATCGTAAAACCTGTCAAATCAATCCACACGTGTGGATTGATTCGACTGGTTCTACGCAAGGGTTCCTCAGATTCACATTCTTAGATGAAAGCGGCAATCGATCGAACAACGTGCAACATAAAGAAATTGAAATGAAATTTGACATGAGTTCGTACCTCTTGATCAGGCCGATGATGGTGGATTTTCCAGAGCCGCTCTGACCCACGAGTGCGACGTTCTTGCCAGCGCGAACTTTGAGGTCAAAGTAGCGGAAGACCAAAACGTACGGACGAGTCGACGCCCTTGAGCTCGACATTGCCGTCGATCTTGTTGAGCTTGACGCCAGCGCCATCGTAAGGGTCGATTTTGGTTCTCCTGTCGAGAATGTTGGAGACAATGACGATGGAATTGGCACCCTTGGTCAGGTCCAAGGTCATGCTGCCGGCCTCGGCGATCATTCGCCCCGAGGCCACGAGGATGAAGAAGCACCCGAACAAGTCGCCGAAGCTCAGGTCCTCCCGCTTGACGAGCTGGCCTCCCCACCAGAAGTCCACCACCCACGTGCAGTAGGTGGCGAAGAGCGCCGCGCCCAACCCCGATCCGGTGATGTACGCCCTCTTCTTCGACTCCTTGCACGGCTTCAGCTATATGGCCTCGAACAACGCCATGATCTTCTCCTGCGCCGAGTATGTCATGATGGTGCGGTGGTGGATCACGGCCTTGCTCGCCACCTGACTAGCCTACTCATGCGCCTCGAACGTTAGATTGTACATGTTCTTCAGCAACACCTTCTTTGAGTAGTAGCACGCGATCACCAGCGGCTGCACGGCGATCATCACCACCGATAGCTTCCACGAGATGATTAGCCCTCCGATACTCCCCAACATGATCAATGCGATCGTCCGAATCACCAACGAAATCCTAAGCGCACGCACCTGAACCATAAAATCGACCGACTCATTATCAATTAATGAACATGAACAGTTCTCGAGCATAAGTCCGATACATCTATCGATCAAATCCTCATCCTCAATTTCCTCAGATAGCAATCACATGCGGTTGCTATGTATCGGCTTGCTTGTTCCTGGCCTGCTATAGATTGACCAGCGATGCATATGCACCCCTTTCAATCTCCCGCATATTTTTGTGTGTTCCTTGCCCCACGACTTGCCCGCCTTCATGAATCGTTCAGTGCCGATCGGATCAGTGCGTGCAGTTCCATCCAAGAATAGAATCAAAGGAATTCCATAATGCACAACAAATTGCAACTCTTCTTATGATTCTCGGCTGAAATTGGTATCAGAGCTTGAGAGTTGAAAGAGAGTTGCGAGCGTGGATTCGAAACATCAGAGAGCAGACTTATGGAGGTGAAGGGAAAAAGGAGCGTTGGTTCGTGCTATTAGGGAGCAGACTCGTGCAACCGGAAACATAGACACAGTCAACGACGTTGTTGTAATTGGAGCTGCGAACCCGTGCTGCTGATTTGTCTGCGAACAAATTCTGAAAAACTTGTAGATTATAGTATACATACTCAAAATTTGCACGTTTTATGTTGTCATATATTGTGTGCAGTTCACTTTGCTTTTGACATGCCTCCGGGCTCACCATCGGATCCACGACACCAAACATCAATCCTACTTTCTGAAGATTCTTCCGTAGGTGCACTTTTTGAATAAAAACTAGATTGCGGCTATACTTTATCTTCAACGTACTTAACATCAACGAGTTCTACGGCTAGTCTGAGTTCGAGCGTTCTCGAAGTGTTGTGCATCGTATTCATACGAGATAAATTCATGATATTTCGTGCAGCGTTAATCAGGTCAGCGAGCATGCGGTGAAAAGGAGGAAACCTAAAACGTCACTACTCTTACTTCCGCAAGCGTGCTGTGCGAGCAAGGAGTTCTGAAACTTCAATATTCTCCCTTTCGGCGACACGTGGTGCGGCGAGGTTCAAACAGTTCGGGCAGCAAACGGTCACGTTTAAGGAGTTTGGGCATCTTGGGCAGGTGCTGGCAGCGAGCGGTCATGTTTGTGCAAATTGTACATCTCGGACAGGTGCGGACAACAAGCGGTTTGGACACATGAATGACATATACATGTCTCTCCTTGAAAAGAGAAATGTGCTACTTGATTGAGATAAAGTTGACTTGACGTTTTGCGAACATTGTATCATGGATAAGCAGCACATGCGAGCCTTTGGTGTTGGAACTCATAGTTCCAAGGAGTTACTTGAGTATATACATAGTGATGTGTGGGTACACTCTCTTATTGCCTCTCTTTCTAAGAAGCTCTACTATGTATCATTTAGTGATGATTACCCAAGATATGTGTGGGTTTGTTTCCTCACACACAAGTCTGAGTTGTTTCCTACTTTCAAAAGTTGGCGGGCCCAAGTTGAAACTCAGACTTAACACAAGGTGAGATATTTGCTTACGGATAATGACGGGGAGTATATTTCTGAGGATTTTCAAAATTACTGCAAAGAGGAGGGGATAACTGGCCATCTCACCCTGGTTTATACTCCGCAACAGAAAGTTGTCTTTGAGAGGCTCAATCAAACAGTGTTGGAGAAAGTACGGAGTATGTTGAGCCAATCAAGTTTACCATGTGAATTTTGGACCAAAGGTGTCAACACCACAGTTTATTTGGTAAACTACTTCTTGTGCAATCAATTTCTTGAAATTGTTTGAATTGAGGCACAAACGTATGGCTGATTATAGTCGTATGAGAAATTTTTGTTGCACTTCTTATCCTTTCAAATCCAAGCAGAATAGGACTAAGCTAGATCCTACATCCAAGAAGTGTCGTTTTCTTTGATATGCTAGTGGTGTGAAAGTTTATAGACTATGGAATCCGGTAGCCTGTAAGGTTATTGTCAATAGAGATGTTACTTCCGATGAGCCCAGATCATTGAGAGAGTGTTGGAGAGTTCTCAGGCTTCCCATACTGACAAGGGAAAGTCTACTCTCACAGATTTTGTTGAGGGGGAATTCCACTCATATATATTGTTGAGATAGAGTTTGATCATTATGGGATTAATGATCTAACACAAGTAGTAGCATCTGAACAGGTGGAACAAGTTCTTGAGCAACAAGAACTACAGTAGCAAATTATCGTTGGTGAGCCTCACATATCTCCACTAGACGATAGAGATCGATGAGAATCTTCTACTAGGAGATCATCGAATCGGGCTAGTAGAGCTCCTGTTAGGTATGATGAATGGACTGACCCATCGATTCTTGAAATTCTTGATATTGATTCAAAGGATGGTGATGGCACTGTGTTGATCTTGAAAGAAGCGGAACCTTCTTCATATAAGGAAGCTCAAGCTTCTGTCAATAAGCTTGAGTGACATGCTGCTATAAAGTGTGAAATGCAGTCGTTGATTGATAACAAGACTTAGGAGTTAGTTGAACTTCCTAGGGATCAAACGTTGATTGATTGCAAGTGGATGTACAAGGTGAAGGATTCTCTAGAAGGTGAAGATGCGAGGATCTTCAAAGCCAGGTTGATGACTAGAGGTTTTACACAGGAAAAAAGATGTGGACTACAACGAAGTCTTCTCACTTGTAGTCAAGTATGCTACAATTTTCCTGGTATGTGCTCTAGCTGCGATAATTAGTCGTGTTATGGATGAGATGAACGTGATTACAGCTTGACTCTATGGGCATTTAGAGTAAAAAATCTACCTGAGACAACCAGTTTGCTTTGAGGTGAAAGGTCAAGAGAAGTGAGTTTGTAGATTCTTGAAATTACTATATGGACTGAAGCAAGCTCCTATATAGTGGAACACGCGCTTTCATGAGTTCATGAAGTCACAAGGTTTTTCACAGAGTGTGTATGATCATTGTGTCTACATGAAAAATGTGTATGATAAGATTTTCAATCTTATTATTCTAGTACTCTACGTAGATGATATGCTCATATTAGCAAAGAATCAATCTGACGTTGACAAATGCAAGAACCAGTTGAAGTTTACATTTAAGATGAAGGATTTGGTTGAGTCAAAGAGGATATTATGAATGGATATTCATAGAGATTTTGTGAAGAAGATGTTATGGTTGAGTCAAGACAAGTATATTTGACGTATACTTTATAGTTTCAACATGGTTGATTCTAAGGGAGTATGGATTCCTTTGGCAGCACATTTCATATTTTTTTTATCTCAATGTCCTACCAATGGCATTGAAAAAGAAAAAATGTCATGTGTTATCTATGAACAAGCTCTAGGCAACCTTATGTATTTGATGGTGTTCACGAGGCTTGATATTGATCTAGCGATGGGCAAGATGAGCATATACATGTTGAATCCAAGGAAGGTTCACTAGAAAGCAGTGAAATGGATTCTGATGTATTTGAAGAGTCATAAAAAATTATGGCTTATTGTCTAATGGTTCATTAGACTATGTCAAATCCTTGTTAGGCTATGTTGATGCTCACTACGGACAAGAATTAGACCATAGAAAATTTGCAACTAGTTATGTGTTTACACTTGGTGGTAGAAGCATTAGTTGGAAATCTACCTTACATAAGTGTGTAGCTAAGTCTACCGCAGAAGCTGAGCATGTGGCAGCAGTAGAAGCGACAAAAGTAAGCTATTTGATTAGGAAGACTTATCACCGCGATGGAATCAACATGACGTGATCAATCTCTATTGTGATAGTCAGAGTGTCTTACATCTCGTTGAAAATTAGGTGATGAACAGCATAATGAAGTATATCGACATCAGGTATCGCTTTATTAGACAAGCAGTGTGTAATAAAAGTATTGAACTAGTCAAGATAGATGGCAAACTCAATCCAATTGATGAGTTAACCAACGTTATTACTTTGGAGATTTTCTTACGATATTATGCTACTATGCAAGTATTGCATGGGGAGCACAAGTAGAGTTTGCTAATAGTCTCTTCAGTTACCTCTTTGTATTATTACTCTAACTTGTTATGGTTACGGCGTAGTTCTAGTTAACTTTAGTTATAAAGAGGAGCCTTGTGTTGGATTTCTTTCTAGAATTTACCGCGAAGTAATTATATAGGTTATAGAGGTTACTATTCCGTCTACATGAGTTAAGGGGAAGATTGTTGCGGTTAACTTATTTGGAGTAAACTCTCTATATTAAGTCGTTAGTAGTAGGTCTGAAGGAGAGTATATATTTGCCTCGTCATGAGTCTGGAAGCTCCGTCTGCTACATTTTTATCAGAGCGATTTTCTTTTTGAACGTGGAAGTAGCCCAAGAGAAGGTTAAACCATGTATATGAGTGTTTGAGTACTTGCATGCCTGGGTGTACAATTCTAGTGTGTGTTTTTACTCGTATCCTTGTTACTATCACTACTTTCAAGTCCTCGGCAGAATGAAAGCTATACTCCAAAATTGCTAGTTACTTGCATTCAACTTGACATGCCATATTTTAAAACAATTGCATTAACTAAAAACGTCATCAGACACACACAGTTATTTAGATTTTTTATTTTATAAAATTATCCTAAACTTTAACAGATATTTTGATTGAATAAAAATTTTAATAATAAAATTAATCTGAAATCAAACTTTAAAATTGACATAAAAATATATTAAATACCTTTAGAATGTCAAAATTTAAAAGTAATAATTTTGATTGATCGGTTTAAAAGAAATCATGCTCAAACATATTTTAAGATTATACAAAATTGCATTACATATTTATAGTTTAATTTCA